ACGCAATTAAATACTTTGTCAGATTGGTGTGGAAGAGAGTACCAAAAGAAGTAAGTTTGAATTTTGGTGGATGTTTCTTTTGCCGTTAAGGGGCACTTAGGGGGAAGGTTACCGGTCAGCGATAATTCCAACAGAAGCACTTGTCGGATCTTTAACTTTTCCGAAATGTCCTTGTTGTGTGTTGAGCATCATCATTTCGTCTTGGACAGTACCTCTCGTATGCCGCAACAGAGTGCCTTACCGACTGGGAGTTTAAGTGTGAAACACGTTGTTATAGTGATGTCTGCTGTAGCATCAGTTATGAAGATTGTCACTGTTTATCATTTTATCGGCAGTTTTTTTTGTGTCTTATTGCAGGGATATCGTACACCGACAAATAGCAATGGATGCAGTGGCGCATTTGACGCTGGGTGTTTTTGGTTTTGGATGCGAAGATGCGCTGATCCATTTGTTCAACTACGTTTGGCCGAATATGCTTGAAAACTCGCCACACGTCATACAGCGGTAACGTTCTAAATCTAACTGGGCACGGTCTCTTTATAGCTAAGATCTGTTCAGTTGAAATCGGTTTCGGAGCCAGATCCCCATACCAGTTGTTGAGCGAGCGGTCTCGGTGTTTCCAGTGATCATATTCCAATCAGTTAATCAGTCGAAAAATTCGTTATCACACTGAAGGAATTTCAGCTGTTGAACAGGAATGATGATGAAAAATTTCAGATTTGTGTTTGCGTGTGATGCGATGCGTGTATCGCTTGGACCTATCAAGGTGCTTCAGTATTGTCTTCAGGCTTTGTGGCACCCAGCCAGAAAAGTTCGGGAGCCAATCTGGAAGGTAAGCATGCCAGAAAAGCCTTTGCTTTTGATTGTAATTTCCATTGCAGTGTTGTTACGCAAAACAACCGCGCATTCCTTCGGCACATTTGTCGACCAGAAAAAAAAATGATTTAAATCAAAGTAGAAAAATTCTTTTGATCCTGAACTAATATGAGCGTATTTTTAGGTTTTTAACAACCTGATATTGGGATCACAGGATGCTCTGGTAGCTGGTTATCCACGCATTCTGAACACAGAAAGAAATAATTTTGTGAGATATGAACTGGATTATGTGCTATAGTGAACTTTGCCATTGTGTTTTTCTCTCACAAGCTTTTTTTGTACATCATGTTTTCATTGTTTTTTTTTTTTAAATATCCTTTTTTTTAACAAAAATTTAAAGTGTTTTTATTTTTGTCCATAAAGTACAAAAGTTCTCGGTGTAGCAAACCTGTGTATCTTGGGATGCTAAAAAAGGATTATTTACACTGAATGTGGCAGACTCTCGAAAAATGCCCCTTGATTTTTTTGCTTTTTATGACTTTTTTTTCCTTTCAGTTGACTAATGATGCTGTTCATTTACAGTATTCTTCGTAGATATTATCATTTTGTTGTTTGTGCAAATAAATTTTTCCTGAACACTTGTGTTTGATTGCTTTCATGGATTCATTGCACGGAGGGCAGACGGATGTTTTCTCGTTAATGGCAATGCTCGTAAATGACATGAGAAAACTGAGTAGATTTTTTGTCCGAAATCTATTTTGCCCTGTAAAAAGCCGTAATTTAGGTTTTCTCGGTTGTTCACAATGGATGTGATACTAAGGAAAATGTCCTGACAAGAAACTGTGTTTACTTTTGGAATGGTCACCGATGAAGCCTAAACCGGATAACGTATTCCGCGTGTATCTCTGTAAACGAGGTGACAAAAAGTGTCGTAACTTACGATGCGATGTCGTCTTGGCAAGTG